TGTGTGTGTGTGTGTGTGTAAGGTAGAGAGAGTGAGGGGGGAATGGTTTAAGAGTAGAAAAGAACAGATATTAAGATCAATGAAAGGGTTATACAGTTAAGTAAATGTTTATTAAAGACAATTGCACAATCTTAGGAATTGACTGTGTGATTCTATGCCCTCCTCACCACCTCCTGACTTATTTTTTCTATCGAGAATCAACCTCACTCCGTTTACCTGTATGGGCGAAGAGACAAACAGTTAAGCTATAGCAACGGCTTCGGACATGAGATGATGTTAATACAGCCGAACCTGATCTAGCGGCTACCTGTCCAAGACAACAACCTAGACAAACGATCCCTTTCCATTTTCCCTCTCGTGTTCTTATAGACACTTTATAATGACACTGTCAAAGGCTTCCAACTGTCTAAGACAACCACTTTTCTCTTCGCAATGGGTGGCCGTATCGGACAACTTCGACTGTTTTATTGAAAAGGGGATTTGATACTTGTGAGCTTATGTGTGTGATTCAAAGACAGAGGAAAAACGCCAGGTGCCTCAATAAGATTATAAACAACTCGCACAAACAGTTAAAAAAACCAAACAGGAACAGGCAGCAGAGAAATACGAAAAAAAATAGAATAAAGGGTAATTTTTTAGATGAGATGATGAGAGATGGTTTACTACGCATAGCTCGAATAGTCTCCTATCAGACAACGTGGCTTTTTGAAAGGTTTTTCCTTCCGAATTACATCTCCTAGATTGGACGTACTCTCAAGAAGTCAGGCAGCTGAATAACAAGGAAGTGTTGGACTGGAATGCACCCGGTAAAAGATTGAGGCAGAGGTCACGTGGAACCTGTAAAAGGGTTACAGAGATAGATTTACAGAAAAGTGGGGAGAATAGGAAAAACATCAAGAGGCTAGTCCGGGACTGGGAAAGGTGGAAAGTGTTTGGCCTGTACCCTGATGCAGGCTGAAAAGGGCAGTAATGGTGATTCCATCTCCTAGATGGTAAGGTCAGAAGGATGGAGAACCATAACAAGTACTATAATTTATTCATCGTTAATCGTTATGCCTCATCGACGTCTGTGGCGTTGCGGTCAGGCTAAGTTAAGTTCCCGAGTGGCGAAAATCTTTATCGAGTATCTCGGTCTTTCTGCCAGGGTGTTCTATTATAGCCCTCTCAGTTGTGTCGGTAGGCCCTGACAGGCACCGTCAAAGTTTTACCTCCTGAACAATCTACATTGTGTCGATGGGGGCGTATAAACTCCTACCATTTTTTAGAACTTGTTGACCCCACCCCACCCCACCCC